TGTTTTGGGAAATTATAATCTAGAAGGTAATGTGATACTTGTGCAAATAACTATAGTAAAAGTTAGATTAAGTCCTGAGGAGAGACTAACTAGTGTGAGTCAAAAAAGGAAGCAACATTTCTTAGCTGGGAGAACAATTAGGAAAAATTTTGAGGAAAACTTAACTTGGGAACTGAGCTCTGAATCAGGCAGAGATATGGGTGAGTCTTTTCTAGACCCAAGAAAGGAGAATGCTTGTCTTAAGTACTTTGGCTTCTCCAGAAAGCCATGCTGGGATTTAGTGGTTCATTTCACAACTGGGCAAACAGAAGCAAAACCATCTAGGCTAGTTTAGTAGAAGGATGAAGTACAAAGCCCAAGTATCTGGGGTGGGGGAAGGTCTCTAATTCTAGGGCAGCAGAACTTCAGGTAGCAAAGGGTTCTTTCATGAAGACTCTTGACAGTGGTTTCACAGCTACTTCTCACATTTCTCCTGACACTTTCACCGAAAATCACAAAGGTCATTCCGTTGTCCTGAAGTGTCTATGCTTTATATATGCTTTTTTCCCCCAAGAAGATATCTTCACATATGGCATATAAGTTATGCATGTATGTATATACATATATATGTGTGTGTGTATTTTATATATAAATATATATGTGTATGTGTATACATACATATACATATGCACATGTATACATACATATACAAATACACACACACACACACACACACATATACATGTATAAAAAGGTTGGGGCCATGAATTGGGAGGGGGAGTAGAAGTTGGTGAGTTGATTTCAGTGATGGTGGAGCATGTGGAGAGGTTGAAAAAATGCCTGTTGTGAGCAGTGGGGAAAAGGTGAAATGTGGCTCCACTCCCCTTGGGGTCAGGAAACACCAAGAATCCCCAGGCCCTGAAAAGAGACAAGATGTTAGTAATCCTGGGGAGATTGACTCTTTGGTATTTAGCAGTCCAATGTTCTTTTTAATGAAATGAATAATTTAGTTTGTTGTATTAGTAATGCCCAAAACTGTACAAAGCATACCTATTATTTATCAAGTCAAGCTAGCATGAATATTCACTGGAACACTTGCATTCTCTTCCTGCACTTAGCACTATCACACAGCAGCATTATTGGAGAGAGAACTAGCAGAGGGTGGAGAGAACAAATTACCTTACACACTGAAGATGTAGAGGCCATGCCAGCTTCCTTAGGAAGAAGAAGCAACATCTGAGTGGAGCACATTCTTCCCCCCCCACACACACATTTCTTATATTAAATGGACATAAATTGCTTTCTTTTAAGCTCTGTTTGGTTTCTTCCCATCCAATTGGAAATTAATTACTCAACATCTAATGCTAGCCAGTTCTAAGATGCCAGTCTGGGTCATTCCCAGAGCTTTGCTGGGTCCTGCCCCCATTCCAACTTGAATAATTCCAGTGATTCACAGTCTGACACTTCTCCTCATCCCTCCCCTCCCAAACTTCTCAATTTAGTCATGCTTTCATCTTTCTTTCCTACCTTCAAACCAATATTTCTTTCCTTCTCTTCCACATCTTTAAGATTTTGGTCCAGTCTCCTCTTTTCTCCCAACTCAGCATCATTTTTCCCCTTGGGTGTCTCTCTCTTTTCCTTCCTCTTCAACAATTCAGTTTAGTTCAATTCAATTCAATTCATTAACCATTTATTAAGAGTCCACAGTGTTCAGAGCCCTAGTTTAGGTTCCAGGAATGATACAAAGTTTGACTAAGATCAGAGTTCTAGCCCTTGTGGAGTTTTCATTCTAGAAGCAGGATAGGACATGTATACAGATTACTGTAGAATAAGTAGGAGAAACCTATAGTATTACCTCATTAGGGAAATGAAAACAAAGTTCTCTGAAAGAGAAAAAGTCATTACCAACTTGGGGAATCCTTTTTCCTCCTTTGTCCAGTAGCACCTATTGAAAATTCAACATGAACGAGTCCAGCGTCTCAGGACCCTATTTAAGAACTATGTTACACTATTATCTTTCACCCTACACTTTCCCATTGCCTAGCCCAGTGGAGCCTACATTTAGAAGAAAGGGCTTGGAGGGGTTGGAAGTAGTTCGATGAGGGTTGTGATAGACAGTTGAGATTTGTGGCAAGAAGAAAAGGATGTACACCTCTGAAACTCCCTGCATCAGTAGAAGCAAGGGTATCACTCTCCTCATAAGATAACCCAATATTAGAGGTAGCATAGCACAGTGAAAACACTGGCCTCAGAACCAAAAGACCTTGATTCTAGCTCTGGCATTGACCAGTCATTGAACAAGTCCCCTAAACTCTCCGGGCCTTGGATTTCCCATTTATAAAATCAGAGTAATACTCACCCTGCCAACACGGCAGGGTCATTATAAGAATCAAATAAGATAATGTGTACAAAGCACTGTCAATATCCGAATCTAAATTACTATTATTAAGGCATGAAGGGAAGTTGCATGCCTGTAGGGGTGGCTGAAATTTATAGGGTCTATGTAAGATATAGAATATGGACTGTCTGAGCTGGAAAGGAGTTTGGATATAGTCTAATCCAAACCAACCATTCTACAGATAAGGCAACTAAAAACCATAGAGGCTGAATCACTTTCTGAGGACACATAGCTAATCAGTGACAGAGCAGAGGCTGGAGCTTGTTCTCATATTCTTCCCACTGTTCGATGCTCTATCAGAGACCAATGCTTTTCCATAGTATATGCCAAATGATCATCAAATATCAAACCTTGTTCTCTGGAAATTTACATTTTTTTGAGGGGAGAAAACACATTTGAGAAGGGAAAAGAAGGAAGGGACACAAGAAAAGGGAAGAGAGCCTGGGATAGTAGAAAGAATGTTGTATTTGGAGCAGAGGGCTAGGGTTCATATCCTGGCTCTGCCAATTATGATATCTATGTTGTGGCTATTCAATTATTTTAGTCCTGTCCAACTCTTAGTGACTCCATTTGGGGTTTTCTTGGCAGAGATACTGTAATGGCTTGTCATTTCCTTCTCCTGCTCATTTTACAGATGAGGAAACTGAGCCAAACAGAGTTAAGTGACTTGCCTGGGGTCACACACTGGTGTCTGGGGTCAGATTTGAACTCAAGTCTTCTTGACTGCAGACCTAGCATGCTATCCACTGAGCCACCTAGTTGCTGGGCAAATTACTTAACTTCTCTGTTCCTTAATCCCTCCTCTGTAAATTTAGAGGGCTCTACCAAATGGTCTCTAAGTTCTTTTTGAGATCTAAATCTCTGCTTTTATGATCTTTAGATCCTGGGATGCTTAATTGTGGCTCTGAGAATGCATAAAATAGCATTTGAGAAGGTTTGGTGAAGGCTAGATGTGATGGTAAAAGTTTCAAGGAGAGGAGGCAGTGTGGTATAATATAAAGGACACTGGCCCTGCAGTCAGAGAATCTGTGCTCAAATCCTGCCTTTGACACTTACTATGTGTCTATGTGGATGTGTGTGTTCTCTCATCTGCAAAAGGGGATAGACTGACCTTTGAGCTATGGTCCTATAATAAGAAGGGCTAAAACTGGTTTTTTGAAGTATGGGTAAGAGTTGAGAAAGTAGAGGAGGGGAGAGAAGTTATTCCAGGCAGAGGAAGAGACTTAGGACACTAAATGAGGATCATGTATGCTAGATACAGTGAGGAGACTAGACAAAATACAGCATCACGTTAGTTCTGGAAGAGCAATGCGGGATAGGATGGGGGTGGTGTGGTTGGGGCCAGATTATGGAAGGTCTGTAAAAACAGGCGGAAGAGTTTGACTTTGATGTAATAAGATTTGGGGAGCATTCTGCAAGTGTATCAGATCTTTGAAATTCTTGAGAGCATCTATAAGTACATTTGAATGTACTTATAGTACATTCTTAAGTACCTATATAGTACCTTATAGTACAACTCTTAAGTGCCTAAAGTATTTGAAATGTCCTTAAATTTAGTCTCTTAATTTAGAATCCACAGGCACACACCAGGTTTCATAGTTCAGATGATTTTGGGACACCAACAGAAAACCTGAGTTAGGTGGAAGTAGTGGTGGAAACGAAGGCGCAGGGTATGAACGACAGTATAATGATGTGCTACTTACTGCCTTCCTTAGGTGAAGATAAATGGGTTGCCCCCTCTCACTTTACCTCTCTTATCCTGCAAATCTCTCCTTCCTCCCAGCCCTAAGTATGAATAATTGTGCCTTAGCCACACTTTGTATGTAATTTCCATGTGCCAACAAATGACTGTACTTAGACACACTTTGAATTTTAAAAGTGATTATTGATAGGGGAAAAAAATTGAGTCCCAGAGCATTGAAGATGGTGAAGTTGGACTACCTGGTTGCCCCCTAGCCCTATTTCATTTTCCCACATCCTGTGAACAGGAGATAACATATACCTTAGAACAATGACTGAGATAAACTAAGACAACCGAAGTCTCTTCTGCTTTCTTCATTTCCCTCACTCCCATCCCATGGGGAAGACTAACCACAGAGGTGAGAGGGAGGAGGAAATAGGGAAAGAGATTATATAGAAGCAGTATTCCCTATGGTCTTGCCATTGCTTAATCTTCTCTTGGTGGGGCAAAGGGCTAGAAGAGGTGTGGGAGCTTTAGAACCTTCCGAAGAGGAAGTAGGCATTTCCAGGAGAGAGAAAGGACAATTTAATCTTGAATGTAATTTAACCTTGAAAGGGTTTGGGGTGGGTTGAGCCCCTTAGAGAAATGAGAGAAGAGGTTCCCACAACTGGAAAGAGCCTTTCCAGTTCAACTCTTCAGTGTCTAGGAACAGAGAGAGATAGTGTTTAGGGCCCTTACAGAGGACCTGTCTCCTCTCCTATTGATTGGAATGTGTGGTGGTTTTCATGTATTCTGTATTCTAAGCTAGGTGGTTGCCCCAGAACCTTTTCCCCACCCCTCCCTTTGCGCTCTCTCTCTCTCTCTCTCTCTCTCTCTCTCTCTCTCTCTCTCTCTCTCTCTCTCTCTCTTTCTTTCTCTCTCCCCCATCCCCTCCTTCCTTATGCCCCAGCTGGTAGAGCACCTAGCTTGGGCTGTGTCCATTTCCCTGGAGTTCTAGTCTTTAGTCAGCCATGGACCTGGAGAATGCACTGCATCAGAACAGAGAGGGATGATAAAGAAGGGTTGGGAATGGACAAGCAATAGGAGAGTTCCCATGGAATCACCCAGTGCACCTTGGATCAAGGAAGACCTGAAGCAGAGATGGATTCTTCTCCCTGGAGCAGCTTCTAAGGAACCAGAGCCATGACTCCTCATCTTGAAGAGGAGCCCAGGAGAAACTACAGAAGTAAGTTGAGCTCTAGAGCACTGAATGTCATGTAACCAGGGCTTATGTATTGGAGAAATTTGTAAGGAGGATAATCCAAGGGCATCAGTGAAAGAGGGAATGTTGCCATTTGGGGGTGGAAGGCTGATCATAGTTGGGAAGGGTGTGGTTGTGTGGTCTCATGATTAGAAGATCTGTGTAAAAATAGGGGTGGGGAGGAGGGAGATATATATTAAACAGTAGAAAACAAACTAGTTTTAATACTATAGAGTGAGTGTTCAAACATTTTGACTTAGACTCCCCAATTTGACTTTGTTTCTAGGTGTTCCAGGTGGCTACTATCTAGGAGAAAGTCTCAGACTTTGATATCTGGACATTAGAAAAAGAAGGTAGGAGATGGTATTTCCCTAAAGAGACCCCTCTGTTTACTTATGACAGACCACTCCCAACCCACACACATACATAGGCCACCAATATAACTTTTAATTGACTTTTTCATAACAAATAGTGTTTTTGGGGTCAGGAGATGGTATTCTAAGCCAGAAAGTGAGTTCTTGTAAAAGGGAAAAATGGGTGGGAGGTACAAAGGCATATTTTCACACTTACTCTTTGATTTTTCCAGACTTGAAGACTGATCCCCTGGTTCCAGGTATATTAGCCCATTTCCCCAGAATCCTATTTTTTGTCTGCTGTCTCCTCCTCAGGGTGGCAGGTCTCAGATTCATGCTTTGGCAACTGTCTTAGAGGCAGTATTGCTGGAAGTATGATGCCCAAGTCTGATGGTTTTCAGGGTGCTTGTTTTATGAGGTAGGTTGTGTAAGGTAGACCCTAGAGTATCCCTGTGCTCAGCCCTTCCTCTCCTGCTTCCTTTTGGGAGCTTAGGGCTTCTTCCCTCTCAATTAAAAAGACTGAATTTCTCTTACATAGAAATGCTAAAATAACTGACATTTCAAGTCCACCAGATGGTCTGGCTCCAGTCTACCTCTTCAGCCTTATTTCTCACCTCTTCCCCTACGTTAACTTTCCAAAGCAATGAGACTGGTCTTTAACATGACACACATGTTCCTGCCTCTCTGCCTTTGCCCACACAGCTCTTGTCTGGAATGTGTTCCCCATCCCTCTCCATTTATCTCACTTCTACATACCCTGTAAAGTCCAGCTTAAGTCCCACTTATCTGTAAAGCATTATTGTCTCACCCTACCCAAATTGCCTCCTCTCCCTCCTGATATCCTTACATTATGCCACTCATTTTCATTTATTATGAGTTAATCACAAAGGAGCCAGTGGCATATGCACTCTGGTAGTAGAAATCTTTTGGTCTCTATGAGGCCACTGATTAGACTATGTGTCTCTCACCTGTGGGCCATCTTAGTGAAATTTGAAGGTCCTATGGTTGACCACCATAGGATACTTTTTTTTTCAGTCACATTAATTCATGAAAACTGTTGACCAAAACAAAGAAGGAATTGTGCTGCACATTGGTAGAAAGAATACCCTCACTGATGAAATCAAAGATTCAACAACTAATGAATCATTTACCTTTTAAAAAAAAATTCTTATTATCTTGTGAGCTCCTTGAGATTAGGGGATATATTCTTCTTCTTTGTATCCTCTCCCCCAAGGGCTTAGCTGAATACCTGACACACTAGAGTTGCTCAATAGAGTTCTGATGACAATAACAGCACTTACAGAGAACAATATGAAGCAATGTGTAATCAAGTGTATCAATATCCTTCCCAGAATGTGTCCTCCAGAACTAAGTATGGGGGCAGCTAGGTGGCACAGTGGATAGAGCACCAGACCCGAAGTTAGGAGGACCTGAGTTCAAATCCGGCTTCAGACCAAACACTTGACAGTTACTAGCTGTGTGACTCTGGGCAAGTCACTTAACCCAAGTTGCCTAAAAAAAAAAAAGAATTAAGTATGACACTCCAGGTGTGGTCTGTCCAGGTGAGAAAAGGGATGTAAGATTATAGATTAAGAGCTAGAAGTCGCTTAGAGGTCATCTAGTACAACTCCCTCATTATATAGAAGGAAATAACTTCTGGAGAGGGTAAGTAACTTTCTCTAGGTTATCCAGATATCAAGTAATAGAATTTCAATTTGGACCTAGGCCCTCTGACCCCAAATCTAGCTCCTTCCCACTTCATTAATATTACATCCTTCTTTTTGGACACTATTTATACAATTTAAGATTATGTTAACTTTGGATTGGTACTTCCTCTTATTGAGTTTGTTCGTATCGAGTTTGCAGTCTACTCAAAACCCTAAATCTTTTTCACATAAACTGTAGTCTGGCCTTCTCTCTCCTCTATTGTACTAATGAAGCCGATTTTCTGAATCCATATGTAGGATGTAATGCTAATCTCTACTGAATTACATTTTATTATATTCAACACATCGTTGCAGCCTGTCATGATCTGTTTTAGATTCTATCATTCAACCCCTTTGCTATATCCCTTCCAGCTTTTTGTCATCTTCAAATTTGCCATCTACTGCCTTTGTCTAAATCACTGATCAAAATATTAAACAGGACCAGTGACAGATTCTTGGTGCATTCCACCAGGAAATTCCCTCCAAGTGAATGTTGACCCATTAATGACATTATGGCTGTCTTCAACAATTTTGAAGGACTCTCATGCAGAATAGAGATTACACTTGTCCTTCTTGACCCCAAGGAGAATTAGGAGCAAAGATGACAGTTGCTGGAAGATAGTTTTTTGGTTTGATATAAAGAATAAAAAAGTCCTAACAATTAAAACAATTATAATTACTAAAAACAAAACTAAAAAGTGTAGTGAAATCTTAGTAGATAGTAGATTTTCACTCTCTAAAAGTCTTTAAGCAAAGGCCTCATGACCATGTGCTTGGGATATTATAGAGGGAATTCCCTGTTCAGATATGGGTTGGACTAGTTAGAAGTTCCCTTCCCATTCTGAGGGTCTGTGATTTTTGTGTCTCATTCCATAGGCTTGGGTCTGGCTCTTAACATATCCATTCTTTCAGACAAGAATATACAGGCCTCACATTTAGTTCATTAGGAAATATGCACGAGGTGTGCAGTACTGAGTTAGGTATTAAGTTGGAAACTGCTTTAGGGAGTGAGATCAAGATTGTTCCTGACTTAGCCTTTTAAATAATGTTTTCATTTCATTCAAGTTCTTTGTGACTTTAGTTAGTCCTGGCTAACTTCCTCTGCCTCTGGCATCCAGGTGGCTAACTATCAGAGTGGGCTTTGGAGGAAGGGTATGAAAGATGGACCATGTAAGGAAGACATAAGAATTGTTAAGTGAGGGTATTTCATGGCTGTCCCCATGTCAAGTCAATTCAAGTCAACATGCATTTATTAAGCATTTACTGACACTGTGCTAATTACTGAGGTGATATAAAAGCAAAAATAGTCCCTGACCTTGAGGAGCTTCCATTCTAATGAGGGAGACAACAAGGAGACAATTAGATACATGCAAGGTATTTGTAGACTAGATGCTTTGTACAAGATGTTGTCACAGAGAAGTTGATGATGCCTGGTTTTCTGATGAAAACGAATCTCCACATGCAGAAGAAGGGATAGCTGAGGCCTGAAAGTCCTCTTCTGTATGGTGGCAAAGGGACAGACTTGTTAACTGCTAGAAAGCCTCTTCGGTGGTCCCACCCAGAAGCCTCTTAGCCTCTCCCTCATTTTGTTTTCCCAATGGATATTCAGGCAGTGTGGGAATAGGGAATAAATGACAACTGTGGGCATAGGGTGGGGGGACAAGGTGCATACAGACAAGACTTTCTTCATCAAAGTGATGTTCCAAAAACAAAAGCCAAAAACTTTACAAACTCCCATAGCAATGGAAGGGGCTGGTTTTCACTTGCCTTTCCATTTTTGTCCAGCAGATGGCGAACATAACACTGGTGGTTCTTTTCCAAAGTCCTTGGATTGCCTGACAAGGTAAGAGTGTGGGTGACCAGCTTTTGTTCCTTGGACTGATATGGCAAAGTGACTGTTCTCAGCATATGGGGTCACATGCATAATACCTTCAACATAATCCATTATTCCAACTGATGGGGGTGCCAAGGTATTCCTCTTGGTATTGCCCCAATCCTTCAGGGCAAAGTATTCACTATTGGAATGAGAGCTTGTCCACATAACAGCAATAATAAAAAGAGTACTTAGCATTTCTAATGCTCTTTGAGGCTTACAAAGTGCTTTACAAATATTATCTCATTTGGTTCTCACAACAAAACTGGGAAGTAAGTGATATTATCTTCATTTTACAGAGGAGGAAACTGAAACGGGGAAATTAAGAGACTTGCCCAAGGTCACTCAGCTAGTAAATGCCAGAGGGAGGCTTTGAATTCAGCTCTTCCTAATTCCAGGTCAGTTGCTCCACCTAGCTGTTCACTTACAGACCAGGAAAATATCTCTGTATATATTACTAATACTGATGCTACTACTAGATTATGACTACATAAGGAACAGCCTTTAACAGCCTACCCACCCAGTGGTACAGAAATAGACATTGTAGGATAGTACAAAGAACTGTATGCTAGGAGTCACAAACCTGGGCTCCGGTCCTGGTTTTCTCTTTTCTTTCTTTTTTCTTTTTTTTTTTTGGCAATTGGGGTTAAGTGACTTGCCCAGGGTCACACAGCTAGTGAGTGTCAAGTGTTTGGTCTGAGGCCGGATTTGAACTCAGGTCCTCCTGATTTCAGGGCTGGATACTCTATCCACTGCACTAGCTGCCCCCACATCCCTATTCTTATCAGATGGGGAAACTGAAAAACACAGAGGTCTGATGACTTGCCACCATCACATAGATAGTAACTGACAGAACCTGGATCCAAACTTGGGTGTTTCTTTAAAGGTCATTCCCCTACGACTAGCCTCATGAATCTCCAGAATCCAGGGTCCTCAGTCCAGGGGTTTGGACTAGATGACCTCTGGTTCCCTTTCGGCTCCAAGTCTATGATTCTGTGATTAAATGATCTCCCCAGAGCTACGTTTTAACTATACTATTGTTCTTCTCTCAAGAGCTGCCTCATTGCACCAGTGACCCATCCTCTCCCACTGATTCTTTGGAAGTTAAAATCTGAGAGCCCGGTTCAAGGTGGAGTCCTATTCTACTTGCCTTCTTCTGGACAGTAAAAGAGAAAGGGTGAATGAAAAATGATTGGCCTCAGCGCGTTACAGTGGAAAGAGCCCTAGATTTGGGGAAACAAACAACCTTTGTTGGAATCCAAGTTCAATTCTTAATATTATTTGACCTTGGGCTCATCTAGGGGTGGGGAACCTGTGACCTTGAGGCTGCATGTGGCCCTCCAGGTCCTCAAGTGATACCCTTTGATTGAATCCAAACTTCACAGCACAAATCCCCTTAATGAAAGGATTTGTTCTGTAAAACTTGGACTCAGTCAAAAGGCCACAGCCGAGGACCTAGAAGGCCACATGTGGCCTCAAGATTGCAGGTTCCCCACCCCTGACATCACTTTACTTTTTTAGGATCCATTTTCCTTATATGTAAAATGGAAGAGATGGACTTTAAGTTCATTTCAAGCTCAAAATCATGTTTCTCTATAGTCTGATCATTCTACAAGTCAGTGGTCCTCTCAGTAGGGTTCACAGAAGTCTTTCTACAGCAGGGTGGGTTGAGAAGTAGAAGAAAAGACCTGGATTGTAGATGAAGCCCAGATTTTCTCAGTTCTCCTGCCAAGAATATGAAAATGCCACCTCACGTTGCCTCTGCGCTCCACTTCTGACTTTTCCAAATTACCTTCTCATCCTGGAAGATGCCTCTGCCCCTGTTCCCCCCTCCTTCCATTGGTGAGTTCCTCCTTGAACCTCCATTTTGAGGAAAGGCTTAGGTCAATCATCCTTCTGCTCTTCTTTGTGCTCTACATCTGACTCTCTAGACTTTTATCACCATCCCCCTACAAGGGGACCTTTTGTTCCTACCTAGCCACCAATTTTCAGCTCCTTTTTACAGATTGTCCTCACCAGTTCTAATTGGTGCCAATTATAAACTCCCTGAAGGCAGGAATAGGCTTCCTTTTTGCTTATGTTTGCATTCCCAGCACATAATAGAATGCTTAGAACCTTGTAAATGCTTAATAAATGCTTGTTGACTTATTTAGAACCAGCTCTGCTAGTAACTAGCTCTATAACCTTGGGCAACTCACTAAACCTATTTGGCCTTAGATTCAAAGAATCATTGCACTGGAAAAGACAGTGAGGTTATCTGGAGCAATCACAACTAAAACATGAATTTCATTAGCAGTATCTTTTTCAAATGATCCCAATAGAAGGACTCACTACTTTGGGTGCATTTCTAATTATTTGGGTGCTTTTCCTTATGATGAGCCCAATTTTCCCCTCTGCATCTTTAATGAATCAATCAACAAATATTTACTAAGCACCTCCTATATGCCAGGCACCGTGCTAGGCACTAGGATATAAAAAGAGAAGTTTGATTTCTGGCCTTAGGGAGCTTACAATTTAGAGCAGGTAAACAACTTGTGCATCTATAGGAAAATGTATAAAACATGTAAAGATGTAGATCTATAGGAAGAGGCATAAAATAGATACAGTATAAGTTCAGAGGGAAGGCACTTTCCTCAGCAGTTAGAGAAATCAATAAAGCCTTCGTACAGAAAATGGTGCTTGAAGGAAACTGGGTTTCTAAGAGATGGAGGTGAGAGCAGAATGTATTCCAGGCATAGTGGACAGTCAGTGCGAAGCCAAGTGGGAGATTTGAGTGTGGTGTATAAGTTTCAGCAAGAAGGCCAGTTTGGCTTAACCACAGAGTGTTGTAAAGGGATATAATGTATTATAAGGCTAGAAAATGTAAGTTGGGGCCAAGTTGTGAAAGATTCTAAAACACTGGTTCCATAAACATTGGTTATGTAAGTTAAAAACGGAGTCAATGGAGTTTATTGAGTAGAAGAGTGACATGGTAAGACATTTCAAGAAAATCACAATGACAGCTGAGTGGTTGGAAGTGAGGTGAGACAGGAGTCAGGGAGATCAGTTAGGAGCCTACTGAAATAGTATAGGCAAGATATGATAAAGGGCTGAAGAATGCTGGAGGCTGTTTGAGTAAAGATAAGAGGAAGGATATAAAAGATTTAGGTGGTCAAAAGGACAAGATTTGGTAACTGATTGGAAAGGTGGGGTGAGGGAGAGTACTTAATTTAGTATCACATGGAGGTTTTGAACCTGAGTGACTGGAAGGAGGGTAAAATACAGATATTTGGAAGAAAAGTTGGCTTTGGGGAGAAAGACAATGAATTCTGTTTCGAACATGTTGAGTTTGAGATATCTCCAAGAATCTAGTTCAAAATCTCAAATAGGCAAGTTGGTGAAGCAGGATCAGAGAGAGATGAAGGCTAGATATAAAGACCTACAAGACATCTGCGAAGGGAGGATAGTTATCATGGGAAGTAGTAAGATCTTTGAAAGAGAATATAAAGAAGAAAGAGGACTGAGAATAGGGCCTTGGGATACAGACACAGTTAGAAGGCTTGATGAGAATGATCTGGCAAAAGAGACTGCAGTGCCATAAACAGAGGGGAAGAGAGAGATCCTGAAGGGGAGGGCATTCAACACTGCCAAATTCCACAGGAACATGAGGAAGGGTGAGGATTAAGCAAAGGTCATTGGATAAGGCAATAAAAAAGATTGGAACTTTTGGAGTTTTAGTTAAGTGATAAAGTTGGAAACCAGATAGAAAGAAAAAGGAATAGACAGGTAGATAGACAGACAGGTGGATAGATAGATAGATAGAACTTAATAAGCACTTAACAGTCATCGCTCTAAGAGCTCTAAGAGCCAAGGATATGAATACAAAAGAACTAGATGGTCCCTATAGTGGAGGAGCTTACACAAATAGGGAAGCTGGTTGGGTCAGGGTACAGAATGGGGAGGAAGAGGAGGGCAGAAGGTACCTGTGGGCAAGGTGGAGCAGTCCAGAGAACGAATTATACTGGGAATGGGAGCGAAGTGGCAATAGGTTGTGAAGTGAGAAAAGAGAAAGTTTTGCTTTCTGGGGCTAAGCAGAGCAAATTTTCAAATATTTGAAAACAGCTGTCACTCATTTAACAGAAATTCATTAATCACATTGGCACATTTATTTTTAAGTCCACAAAGTTGGACTTATAATAAATGTGCAAAGTACTGTGCTAAGTCCTGGGAGTATCATGTTTCCAAGTCCTCACTTTTCCAGGAGAAATGATTAGTTCCTTCACTTCTTCCTATGACATGGTTTAAAATCTTCTCATTATCCCCATTGACTCAAACTTATCTTTCTTAATAACGTGACTAGAACTAGAACTAAAAACAAGAAAAAGGGGAAAAAAGTTACATGATAACTTTATTATATATTTAAAAAGAATTAGCAAGTTGTACATAACAGATTTGCAATTTCATGTGCAATCATCTTTTTTTTTTCCTATTGTATTGTTATGGAAATGCTTGTTTTATCTCTTAAGTTCAAATAAATGAATTTAAAAATAAAAACAATTTTCCAGATGTATTCTGTCCAAAATGGAGTATAGTAGCATGATCATGGCTCCTTCTTTAGAAACTAGTATATCTGAAGGTTCACATTCACTTATTTGGCAGCTACATTTCACCCTGGACTCTTATGGAGTCTTACTCTTTGTAAAGTGAGGCAATTAGCCTAATCTAGCCACTCCCAAAGGTCTCTTCTCCTGCTATACTTCTATACTGGAGTGTTGTGAAGCTCAGATGAGATAATGGATGCAAAACACTTTGCAAACCTTAAAACACTCTATATATACCAGTTATTATTGTGTTGTTGTTATTGTTGTTGTTGTTTTCCTACAGTCACTAGGACTCCGATCTGGTGATGCCTTCATCCCCTGAGCCTTCTAATGCACTCTTACTTAGCTCCAGCAATATTTATAGAGCAATAAAGGGGTCTACTGGTAAATATTTAACAACTGGACTCTCCAGAAAAAGAAATGTATTCACACGCACCTTTAAGTTTAATCTGCATTATTAACACTTTCTTAGTCCTAGACGATGGACAGCTAGGTGGCACAATAGATAGAATGCTGGGCTTGGAGTCTAGAAGTCTCATCTTCATGAGTTCAAATCTGGCTTCAGATATATGCTAGCTGTGTGACCTTGGGCAAGTCACTTAACCCTGTTTTCCTCAGTTTCCTCATCTGTAAAATGAATGGGAGAAGGAAATGGCAAACCACTCCAGTGTCTTTGTCAAGAAAACCCCAAATGAGGTCACAAAAGGGTTGGACACAGCTGAACAACGAAAAGGCCTAGACAACCAATAAAACAATAAAGCAAGCCCTGGTTACTAGCGATTGCTCAGTTCTGAGTGCAAATTCTCACAATGAAAATTTGATAATGAGCTCTCAAGCTAGTTAGAGCTGATTCCAACATACTCCAAATTCTATGAAACTATTACACTACCCCCAAGTAGAATTGCCCTCCTAAGATTAGGGGAAGTAGAAAGAGTCAGTCTTTTTCTATCTTATTTATATCTAAGGAAGGTTTAAGAATTTTTACATGTATTTAAATATCATCTGTCAAAAGATGAACTTTTGTTCAAAACCAGCCTCAGACCAAACACTTGACACTTACTAGCTGTGTAACCCTGGGCAAGTCACTTAACCCCAATTGCCTAAAAAAAAAAAAAAGAAAAAAGAAACAAAAGAAACAAAAGATGAACTTTTGAAAGAAACCATACTGGAAAAAAAAGGTATCTTTCTAGGGCTCAGTATTCTTATGTACAAAATGAGGGGGCTGAATTAAGTGATTGGTGAGATTCCTTGTAGATGCAACATTCTGTTAAATAATTCTATTTATCCAACCTGCCAAATGGTCATTTGCCCTTGAGGGGAATTTTGCTTTGGGAAGACTATCCTGTTTTCCACAGTTATGGTAGAAAGAAGGCCACAATTCTTCTTATCAAAGGAATGACTGTCCCTATAGCCCATCTATTAAGTGTCACCATTGGTTGTGCTTGAAAATAGAGGTATATGATCCAAAGTGCGAGTAGTAAAGCATTCTGGGGGCAATGGGGCAAAGAAGAGATGAGCCCGTGTGCATTGTACTTCAGTAACACTTTTCTTCCCAAATATAGGCTTTCCTGCATGGGTAACGGGCTATAAACCCCTTTTCTTAACCTTCTGCTATTGCTGAGACTGATCTCTAACTTGTCTTCAATTTTTCTCTTCTTGCCCTTCTGCCCAATGCCAGATCAGATTCATTCTCCTTATCATCTCTTCCTGGAGCACCCTTTTCTCGATGACTTCAATGTTGCAGGCTTCCTTTTTGATCTCAGCTTCATCACCTGCATCCATAGCAAGAAGACCTACCTGAAGATCATTCAGGAAAAACTGCTCTGAAAAAAAGAGCTTGAAGACTAATCATGGTTATCCAAAGAGGAGAGATGGTCATTGGCAAGGGGGAATAACATGGAATCTATGACTAAGAACCTCTAAGCAGAGGAATCTATAAAGAGACTTTAGAAGTAGTATTCTTGAAAAGGAGGACATTTCCTAAAATTAAGGGATGGGTTTAAGTAGGGTTATCCACTTTATGAAATTATAGGTCATGATTTACTTATAGCCCCACATCCTATCTCCTAGGGGTCAATAAAATGATTCCAAATAATAGGATAGAAGAAGAGAATTAACTCTTTGGCCTTTAAACCTTTCCAGAATAAAATATTTCAAATTGAATTGTGTATGCATTTTTCATTCATTCATTCAACAAGTACTTTTTAAGTGCCTACTTTGTGCAAGGCACTGTATTAGGCACCAAGGATTCAAAGACAACAAAAAGCAAAAACCAACCATTACTCTCACATGATTTAATTTCTTTTGGAATGTTTGACCCATAGAAAACATCAGCTTGGACTAGATTTCAAATCTAGGAAAAGAGGATGGGTTGGGGGAGGGTCTTCCTTATTTAGCATTTTAGGGCGCCTTTCTAATGAAACTTTCAAGTATTATTTTGTATTATAACTATTATTTTTGTGCATGCCATATACCCCTACTAAACTGTAAGCTCTATGAGGGTAGAAACTATGGTTCATGAAAACACTGTATCTCTTCCAAGACTAAACATAGGGATCTGAATATAATATATGCTTAATAAATGCTTGTTCAAAATACTTGCATTGTATTGAATTGAGTTGGAATCAGCTGTGGTAGAAATCCTTTCAAACTGAAAATGTTCAAGATTTTGTGTGTGTTTCTATGTGAATTAATGTATGTGGGGTGGGAATGGGGGGGAAGGTATTTTTGCATACATTTCTAAGAATATTTACCTCTAATTTTTGTCTGTTGGATGGAATGTTGGATTTAGAGTCAGGAACACTTGGGTTCAAATTATTCTTCCATTGGTGTGTCCACTGGCAAGTCAATTAATCTCTTTAAACCTCGATCACTTCATTCGTAGAATGAGGATAACAATACCCATATTCCTTGCCTACTTGTAAATATTTTTGTGATCCTTAGATTTGCTGGGCCAGTTAAAATATGATTAGTAACTCATTGCCCTTCTGTTTTTTCAAGGTGAATTCCCACATTAACATTACCTCAATATCCAGGAAAATAAAAGAGCTATTAGAGATTAGGAAAGGCTATTTAGAGTCTATTTATCCATCTTCTACTCTCAGTAATTAACTCAAGGCCAGGCAGGGCTGTATCCTGTGGACAAACAGCTCAGGGAGAATTTCCTCCAGATTACACAGGATATGAACACAGCCCCTGATGTTCTCTGTACTCCCTCATTTCAGTGCCTTGGGAGACCTACTTATTTTAAGACAGTGCTTAAGAAAAGGCTACAAAGTCCTTGGAGACACATAGAACTTGAGATCTGTCCATCTACTCTTTAAGCTAAGATTGGGAAAGAATTAGTCATTCCCAAGTTAAGGGCTAATATTAACCCAAGTGTTTGTGAAAATCTTCTTTTATTAGTGAAGAAAAAAAAAAACACAAAAAGGAAATGACTTTCCTAGGGCAATAAGACATTTAAAAAAATAATAGCTCATATTAGTAGAGCACTACATTGTTTATGACCTTTCTTCATCATAACCCAGTCAGGTAGATGGTCCAAGCATTTTACAGATGAAGATAAAAAATCAGTGAGGTTAATGAAGGTTTTGTAATTAGTCTAAGTGGTGGAGAGAGATCAAAAGAACTGAGGTCATTTGACTCCAAATCCAGTGGTTTTTGTTACTATATCATGTTGCTTCTCCTTGGCACAAACTATTTTCCTTTATTGCAAAACCTCAGAGTGAAAGGAACTTCAGAGGTCTCATAGTTCAACCCATACCTGAAGATGGTTCCCTCATTAGCAACTCTGATAAGCAATTGTGATAGAATTAATATGTACCAGAGTTTTATCCACACCTCTCCATTTTCCTCCTTCATGGGATTGATTTTCCTTAATAGACAACAAAATTGTCCCTGAGACCTGACTGGCCTCTGATTGCCCCTTGATGCATCTTCCTAGTCACTTAAAAGCAGCAAAGCATGGTTCACATATGCTACTGGTGCAAGTCCCAAACTCTCCACTGTACTGCCATTCACCTCTAGACTGGCTCCTTGGATGTCACATACAACCTTCACTCCTTCCTGAGATGTCTCCAGAGTTTTAGTGCCACATGGCCTTTGGGACAGGACGTCTGTATCCCAGAGACATTACTATTCTCTGTTCAAGTAGTGAATGCTAAATTATAGTGAATAATGCTGCTACCCATCTCTGGGTTGCACCATCTAATTTAGCACTTGCCAAAATATTCCAGAATATACACAGTTAATAGTGCACACTTGTGACTTCAATATATCACATAATCCTTAAATGTTGTAGTAATAGCCCACTCCAAAGCCAAGAATTCCTATTTGTGTGCATACAGAAAGGTTCACCTGCTGGCAAATGGATTTCTGCTGACCATCACTGGCTCAGAGCAAGACAACTCCCACAGTCTCCCATGCTGGCATTTGTGTGCCAGACAAAAGACTTGTCTGGATCCACAAAGGCCAGCACCAATGTCCTGGTGAGGCAGCTACTCAAGTCTTTGTAAATTCATTCATGCTTGTTTGTCTACTGATCTCCCAACAGCTTCATAGGTTTTTAAAAAGTAGTTAGCCTTTCTTGCCCTCCTGTTTCTCTCTCTCTCTTTAATCATTTATTTGTAATCAAGGACATAAAGTGGTTTAACTATCAAAGCCTAGTTCTTAACAAATTGACAATAATATCTACCAAACTCTGCTATTTGTAATGTTAGGCTATCTCGCCTTCTAGCCCTGAAGCAGCCTGAATGCTTGCTTCTCCACTAAGATATCTGGTAACATGATTCTCACCTTTAATCTTAACTATTTTTCACACCTATAGTGCATTGCCACAGGAATAATCCAAGGGACTTCCCTGGGAAAACATGATTCTATACCCAAGAAGGATGCCAGTTACATTTATCATACCCCTTAGCAGGAACATACCTAACTTTAATTACTGCATGGGCAGTGCTTTCCTCTCCAACTCCAGGAGTAAGGAATCAACTTCAATCCAACCCCAAGGGCAGCTTCTATTTTAATATCTGATCTCTAGCTTTCATCCTTCAAACAAATGGCCCTTCCCTGATCAGCATAAGAGGCGTAGTTCTCAACTCATTCACAGTAGATCTACCATTACTGATAAAGGGAACAGACCTCTGAATGTCTTACAGGTAAGACTAACTCTCTTGAGGTAGAGATATTGCTTTTACCTCACCTGAAGATGAGACATCTGTCTCTGATAATGATCTAGACTCAATCTAATTTGCATATGAGTCTTCTAATGCTTTTTTAAGTATGCCTCTCCATTCCCTTGCTGAATTTCCTAGCTTTGCTTATTCAGAGTGCAAAGTCTCCCCAGATTTCTTTTATCTCAAAGGAGGATTTACAAGTCAGTCCTCAGATCTTATCTCCTAATATAATTGTACCCAGATTTTTGAGTGATCAAATAGATCCAGGCAATCCTCAGAGAATTCCTTGAGTGTTAAGAAGCATTTCCCCAACTCCTATACCATTTCTTTGAAGGTCTCATAATGTCATGATATTTAAACTCAGGGTTCACACCTATTATTACAAGACCTCTATGAATCCCTGTACCTTTGGCACAATACAAAGCACCTGCTGAAGTATATACATTTTCAACTGATTGATAATGATAGTATTTAAGAAATAGTTGTTACTCTAAACTTTAATATCTTTCTGGCATTTTCTCTGGGTTTCTCCCATGCCTGAATGCTTTTCCTCTGCAACTCTGCCTACTGATTTCTCTGGCTTCTTTTAAGTCCCAACTAAATTCTCTCTTTTACAGAAAGCCTTTCCCAACTCCTCTTAACTCTAGTGCCTTCTTTCTGTTATTTCCTATTTATCCTGCCTATAGGTTGTTTGTATATGTTTGTTTGCATGTTCTCCCTCTAATATATTGTGAACTCCTTGAAGTTAGGGATTATCTTTTGTCTCTTTTTACATTCCCAGAATTTAGCACAGTGCTGGTCACATAGTAGGTGCTTAATAAGTGTTTACTGATTGATAGATTGATTGAAGCAACGCATACTTAGCATATAACTGAGAAACAAGTATGCAATTAGTAGCAATTGATATAGAGGTAAACCATAGCATTCAAATTAGAATTACTGGCATGGACATAGTTTTAGTAAACACATAATTATTGTAATATGAGTAGCACTGAAAATCAGACTTACATTCCTCATAGGTATTCAGCAGATTGAGTATGATAGAGGAAAATACCCATGGGAGATTGGGGAAAAGAATGGAAACCAAAAATAAAACCAAAACAAAAGAAAGTTAAAAATAGAAGCAGATTAAAAAAATCAGACTATTAACAAAAGTGGAAAAGGAACAAAAGTGTTTTTAGAATTGTGTTCCAAAATGATAAAAAACATTTCTTCACAAAAATAGTAGAAGTCAAGCTAAATTCAGCCTAAAATTCAAAAGCATCAAGGGGAAAATGAATTAAAAGAAAATAAATTAATGTTTTCAGAATAAGAGCATCTGCAGTGCTTTTTGTAGTGTTTCAAGAAGATCTGCTTCAAAAAAGTAAATGAAGGAAATAGATTATTGTTCAAAATCTCTAAAGTGTAGAAAAGAAAAATTTTTAAAAATCTTCAGATAAGCTTCAGTGACATTGATGTTTGTTGATAGGCTAGTGAGCAGGTAGGCACAGCGGTTCCTCTCCACCTTACCCCTCACTTCTTTGTGGGTAGGGCTACTCCTCTCCCAGGATGTAACTTTTTCTCCAACTACTCCTTCAGCTCCTTCCCTCTGGGAGTGATTTGCTTTCCAAACATGTTATGGGTAAGGGTGGATGCCTGACTCAATTCCAGCACCGTTAGTTTTCTGAATTGTGGCTGACTTGTTTTGGATACCCAGAGAACTGTGTGTGTGTGTGTGTGTGTGTGTGTGTGTGTGTGTGTGTGTATGTATTTCTGTGAAGTTGTAAAATGGAATCAATAACTCCTTCCTTTGGCTTGGAGCCCTAGCTAGAATCACACTCTGACAGATTCAGCAGTTTCAAGTCCCTCTCCTCTCCCAGCCATCTCCAAACAATACTGAATTCAAGCAATAACATCCACAGCTGAATTCGGTGGGTTGGCAGCATTACCACAATGACTAGCTTGAGAAACAAGGTAAACTTTTAAATGCACAAGGTAAATATTCCCCACGCCCTAGAAGATGCATTAGGCTTGAAGGGAATACTCTCT